CATTACCCTTGATATCCTGAATGTCATCAAAATGTCTTCCTTTCAATATTTCCTTTATCTTCGGGTAAAGAAAGAAGTCATTGGGGTCCAGGTCAGGTGAGTAAGGAGGGTGTTCCAATACAGTTATTTGTTTACTGGCTAAAAACTCCCTCCCAGACAGTGCCATGTGAGCAAGTGCATTGTCGTGATGCAAGAGCCATGAATTGTTGGCAGAATTTCAGGTCGTTTTTGTCTAACTTTTTCATGCAGTCTTTTCAGCACTTCCAAATAGTAAAGTTGGTTAACTGTTTGTCCAGTTGGTACAAATTCATAATGAATAATATCACAAAAGGTTATCAACATTGTTGCAACAAGTTCATGAACTTAATTGTCAGACCTCATATAATTATTAAATTTTGAAAAAAGAGGAATATAAGTAGGTGTTTCAACTTTTATAATGAGTTGATACTTTATCTTGGTCTTAAGCAGTGGGGTGAATTTAGATATAGAGAAGAAGAGGAGAATATTTCTGGATAGAATAATTGGAAGTAGAGAACAAGGGTTAGGTTTGGGACCTGGGAATAATTTTATATGTCATTGGGCAGATAGGAAGGGCCAGACCATAGATAGTTGTGAAGCCACGCAGGAAAGGTTGGGTCAGAGGTGACGGGAATCAGTGAATCACTGTGAGTGAGTGAGTGTTTGTGATTTATAAAGTCAGGAAAAGTCTTTCCAGTCTTATTATGTGGATTAAATGGAACAAACAATGAAAAGCACTTACCTAGTACCTGGCATATAATTAGCTGTCACTAAATGGTAGCTATTAGTATTACCAATAATAGCAGAGAAAGTTTTGCCTTGAATTTTTAATTTGGATAAATAGACTCATTTGGGGGTTATTTATATCAGGCCTGTCTAATTTATCTTTATAAAGTCGAATACAGTTTAATCAATAATATTGATTAAGAAAAACATTCAGGATGAAAAAATGAGCAGACCACACGTACTCCAGCAAAGAAAATGTGTTGTGTTAATGGCATACACATAGAGAGAGCTAAAAAATAATCATATGATAAAGTTTTCATACTACTACCTACCTGTATTTTACTAAAATGTGCTATTTACCACTGTGGAAAACAGTGGTATTTCCTCAAAAAATTAAAAATAGAATCATCATATGACCCAGCAATTCTACTTCTGAGTATATATCCCAAAGAAGTGAAAATAGGGTTTCAAAGAGATCATGTGTGCACCTGTGTTTATAGCAGCATTATTCACAGCAGTTAAACATGGAAGCAACCCATCGATGTCCATCGATGGAGAAATGGATAAGTAGAATATGGTTATGTGTGTGTGTGTCTACCGGGGTTGCCAAAAAAATGTATACAAGTGGACACTTTGGTCAATGTTGCTCAAGCTGTAGTTCACCATAATCAGAAGTGTCTGGACGCTGATGGTAACCACTTTGAGCACCTCTTGTAATTGCAGAAGTCAAACGTGACTTGTATTCATCTTTTGTTATCGGTATATATTGAATATTACAATTTGAATACAGTTTTCCTTTCTTAAAATGTGTATACATTCTTTTGGCACCCTCTGTGTGTGCACACACACACACAAGCACACACACACACACACACACACAGGAATATTATTCAGACTGAAAAAGGAAGGAAATTATGACATATGTTACAACATGGATGAGTTTTGAGGATATGATGCTAAGTGAAATAGGCCAGTCCCCAGAAGACAAATGCTATGTGATTCAACTTATATGAGATACAGTAATCAAAATCATAGAGACAGAAAGTAGAATAGTGATTTCCAGGGGCTAGAGAAGGGATGAACGGGGAGTTATTATTTAATGGGTATAGAGTTTCAGTTTCACAAGATTAAATGAGTTATAGAGATGGATAGTGGTGATGGTTGCACATGTTATGAATGTATTTAATGTCACCGAACTGTACACTGAAAAATAAGATGGCAAAATTTTTATGTGTATTTTACCACAATAGAAAAAATTGAGATAAAAAGTGCTATTTGCAACTCAACAGAATTCAGTTACAGCTTTTTGATTCCCCGTGGAGGATACTGCACTAAAATTCAGCTGGTATAAAAACAGGCATTTCCCAGAGGACTAAACAGAGAAGGCATACTAACCTGGAAGACCCTCTATACCAGCAGTTCTCAACCTTCCAAATGCTGCGACCCTTTAATATAGTTCCTCATGTTGTGGTGACCCCCAACCATAAAATTATTTTCGATGCTACTCTATAACTGTAATTTTGCTACTGTTATGAATCATAATGTAAATATCTTTTTGTTTCCCGATGGTCTTAGGCGAACCCTGTGAAAGGGTCATTCGACCCCCAAAGGGGTCATGACCCACAGGTTGAGAACCACTGCATACACTTCAAAGGATATGAGAATGCCTGCAAGGTTTTCTGTTGTTTTGTTTTGGGGAGCTTTTTTCTTTTTTGGTGATAATAGGGGAGGTGGAGTATAAACAAACTATAACTTAAAAAGCTTTTTAAAAAACTCATCTATTTCTGGTATACTGATTTCTTTAGCATATTTTATACCAACTATCCTCCAGTCTGCTTACCAGAGTTAATAATGCAATTTATAATTAAATATTATGCTAAATGCAGAACATAGGCCAAGGTGCTAAATGAATTAGCTGTGGGTAGAGAGGCCTGATCAACAGAGCTTCTGTTGGGGGAAGGACTAAAATTTTGAAGAGGAAAAAAAAAAGTAGAAAACAAGGAAAGGGGAGAAAAAAGTGATTCAGGTCTTTTTTAAACCAAGAATTTGAATTCAAAAAAATTATTCAGAAACTACTGAAATTCTTGCTTCATCTAATTAACAGAAAGAAAAGTCATCTACACACACAAAAAGCACCATTTTTGATGCTGAAGAGCTGGACTCATCTTCTAACAACTTAAATATTTCTAATTCCCTTTGCCCTTAAACATTGGGCTTGATCAGCCTTTCAGCCGTATTTTCTCCTCGCCATCTCCCTTCTCTTTCCCCTCGCCATCTCCCTTCTCTTTCCCCCTTGGTGTGCGCCTGCAGTTTCTCACATTCACACTGCCCCCCACACCTTTTACGCAATCATCCCTCTTGAGTGGGGCTTTGTGGACACAGCCACTCTTCCTAGCCGTAGCCTCTGCAACTGACTGCACGACAAAGTTCCCTTTGCCTCTTGAGGGCCTTTATGCAATTTATGTTAGACACCAAGTTTATAACAATAGGACTAACTTTGCGTGAAAGTGCACTGTATTTTGGGTTTGGGTCACTGTTTGCTGTTCTGATTGGCAATGTACACAATGACTTAAGCGATACTCCTTGGGGCATTTCAGTTTTGGGTGTGGATATTACGTGACACAGTTGTCAACTCTTGGTTTTTCTTGAGGGCAATTAGCTGAAAACTGGTTTCGTTCAGTTTGTTTTGGTCTGTTTGGACCAACTATTTGCTCAAGCCCAAGGAGCCTGCCTGCAAAACGGTGGTAACCTCAATGAAGAGGTTGGGTTCATTCTCTGCACGTTCTCCATCCCTCCTGTAAAACGATACCATTTACAGTATTTTCTACATCATGGTGTCTCTTGGTATCTGCTCTCCTGAGCTTGCTCCAAATACCCTCTTTGTGGCATCAAGTAAAGTTAATGGAGCCCCAGAACTGGGATACAGGCATGGTTTCCTCTTGCCAGAGCAGCAGGCAGACACAGAGAGCAGAGAGCTCAGTCATGGCTACATATTGTGGAGCGGCCATGACATGGTCTGGGAAACAAAAATAATTGCTGAACACCAAAGTACATGTAAAAGCACTCCCCCCTTTGACTCAAGAGTATTATCATGAGCCTTAGAACAAAGCGGTGGGACTGACTCAGTCTTCTCAACATTGGCCCTGAACACGAATATGCTTTTAAATTGAACTAAGGGTTTCAACAACGAGCGGACTCATTTGACTCTGTTTATTGCTATCGCCTCCATTCTGGCTTTGCCCCAGAGATTTCTGATGGCTCAAGCAGCATTGGAGTCAGTATCTCTGATGTGTTTGTATCTGACCTCTGACCAACACTTCAGTGTTATTTTCAGCTGTTCTTTGACAGGGAATCCAACAGCTGCTGTTTAATACCACAGACAACTTGTGACACACGCTGAGTTTCTAGCAATAGGATTAATCCACCGATCTTGGGCTCTGATTTGAAGCTGTCTATAATTTTCCTGTACAGAGCATGGGGGGAGAATAAAAACCAAAGCTGAAGTACAATGTTATGCTTTTTTTTTTAATTGTAGAAAAATATACATAGTGTTAACCTTTAATTAAAACAAAAAACATTTTCTTGCTGCAGTTAGAAGGTAACAGAAAACTGTATGACCTCCTAGCATTTGTGATAACTGAATTTAAAAACTCTGTTCAATGGAGTATAGTAATCACAAAGAAATTCAGAAGTGATAGGTATCTATTGATAAATGCCCATTGAAATATTTTTTAACTATCCCTAAGAAGTCAGAGGCTCTGAGAAAATGTGATCATTCTATATAAACTTCATTTGACAAAAGACAGTTAAGTTTTAGAAAAGCAGATTAATCTAAAAATGTATTTCAAGCACTTTTGTGGCTTAATCCCAAAACAAATACCAGAGCTTATTTTTAAAGTACACTTTGGAAGCTTTTTTTTTTTTTTGCATAAAAGAGACAATATTGAAAAGATTAATATCCAGGTCAATGACTGGCTGGTTTCAAAGTCAACCATAACTGTATAGATTCAATGGCAAAACTAATTTGGGCTGTCAGGATGTAATGTGTTTTTTTTTTTTCCATTTGCTGTCAAACATCAGCTGATAGGAAGAGAGCTAGAAGCTGCCCTTCACATTTAAGATAATGGCAAAAATAACAGGCGCTTAGCGTTACCATACTAGGGGTGTGGCGATTCTCTCCCGTTCTCTCCCCTCTCTCTCATGATAAATTCAATGGGGTTGTCTATTTTTAACCTTCTGTTCTTTCCTTTTGGCAGAGTAATCAGTTGGAGCTGAGCTCTTCCCCTGAATGAATCCAAGTAACCCCGGTGGTTGCCTTCTGAAATGACCAGCAGACACACATCTGTACAGAGGCTGCCCGAAGTATAAACTCTGGTTCTAAAGTACCATGTCCAGCCAAGGAAGTCCCGGAGTGGAGTTTTCTACGACAACAGTCAGTTCAGTAGCTGTGCAGGCTGGGGACTCTAAAATCGTAATAGCTGTCATAAAGGTAAGCTAACCACTTTCTTTTTTTTCTGTGTGGCTGTGGGCTTCTTGCTGTGTGTTGATAGTCCTAAAGAATATTTTACACAGTCAGCAGTACACAGCATATGGAAGATAACAGAGCAAGGACAACTTCTTTCTTTCCAAAAGTGGCAACTAAGAGAAAACTCTATTTAAAGTTTCAGCCAGTTCCTACAGTTTCTCTTTCATTTGGTCAGAAAACATCTCCATCAGGTTGGTTGAGAAAAACAAAACAAAACAAAACAAAACTGAAACAAACTATACTGTATATTTTCAATTTGGTTTTTAAAGGCAAGGCATTCGTGATTACAAGTTCATGACTGGCTGAAGAGTCAAGGAGACATGTGAAATGTTTGTGAGATTTCTGAGAGTGGATGCAATGGAGGAGAGAAGAGGAAGGTCCTAACAGATAGGGAGTGGCACTGTTTTCAGCATGATGGGACACCGGGGACACCTAGGAAGAGGCTCTGACATGTGCCCTCCCCAGCACTGGTTTTGACATGGTAAAAGCACTAGTCAATCCTTGTCACATTTTGAGGGGATTGAGGACCCTGCCAGGGAAGGTGCAAAAGGCATGTGTCCAGTTTGCTCTTAACCACAGGAAGTTGAAGCCACTGGGGACTTACGTTTTATGACGTTTTATGTCAAGCAATTTGTCCATTTGCAACGATGATACACATCTTTAGGGTGAAGAAGATATCCATGATGTTATTTCCCATGAAAATGCCCTGCAAAAACCCCGGAAGCATTGTGCTTGATTTAGACAGTTCACCACCTGAGGAATTCAGGATTTAATGAGGGAACCGGGTCCACTAGCTGGTGCTCACCAGCCAGTCATTTTCAGGACCCTCCCAGGCTGAACTGAGTGACTTTTCTGGCCTTTTGTCACAGCATGGACGACAAGGCCTGTTTAATTTCACTTAATTCTGTGAATTGTGTGTGAATGTGGAAATTATAACAGGAAAGCAGCACTTGACACAGAGCAAAACGATTTACTCTACAAGCACTAAATCCAGTGTTCCTAGTGAGCCATTTCCTGGTGCTGTCGAGGCTCGAGGTCCGTATAAACAGGACCTCTGCTCACTCCCTGGCCCTCTCGTGTTTTCAAAGGCAATGAGCGGTCATGGAAAAAAGCCTGAAGCAGAAGTAGCAAAAATCGAAAATTTGCATGTGGTTTTACGATGCTTTGAATATATGCAAGTTTCAACACTGACAGAAAAGAGGCAAACTCACTGTTTAAACAACAGTTAACTTTTCTTTCCCTCACATATGAAACATTTCTTAGAGCACAATGAAGAATAATGCGTATGGAATAAATTATAAGAGAATCAGAGGTAGATTGACAGTAAGAAAAAAAACCTCTAAAATTATACTGGAAACTCTTAACTAAACTGTGTTTCTAAGATTGTTCCCTCCATCTCCCCTCCCAGCTCCCCTAACTAACTGCCATCCATATAAAATAAACCCCAAGCTATTCAAAGTGCAAAGCCCATCTTAAAGGAATAGAAGCGCCTGTGTCGGATGTACTCGCATGTGGACTTCTTCTTTCCAAATGGTCTCAGGGCAGTAATTATCTAGAATAGACAAACATACATTTTCTCTCATTTCTCTTCAGCAATTCACTTATCCAAGGGCATGTGCCTGTTAGTGGTTCCTCTTGCTTAATCAGTTGTTGCTTCTTAGAAAAGCAGTTCCTCAGGAAATGCACTGATCAGTAAGCTGCTTTCAAATGGCAGTTGTTGCATGCATTCTGATTTTATTGACTTTGTCCTACATACTTTGTTGAATACTCAACAACAAAATTTGGAAAATGTTATGTTTTAACTTTGAAGTAAGATACAAATCGGTTGTTTCATCTGCTGTTTATTCTTTCCAGTTGAACCAATAAGATCAATGTAAGGACATTGATCAGCCTAAATTGCATTTACAAAACCTTTCCCCTGTGGTGAATTTGCATCCTACTTTCCTGAGAGGAATGTCACTATTTTTATGGAATTCAGTTTTGTGAGAGAATATACAATTATGTGAATTATTTTGTAAATTTCTAATATTCGATAATATTAGATCTATTGTATGTGTTCCTCATTTGGAAATTTTAGATTTAAATTCAGTATGCCAAGAGAAAAGAATTTATCCTAACAATAAAAAAAAAAAAGAAAAGTCAGGGCATGGATTTATATTAGACCTGTTATATTTCAATTTATTAAGGCCCATCTCTATGGAGAGAATAATGTGATCACAGTATAACTGGAAATTGAAAAAGAAAAGAAAAAGGAGAAGGGTGGAGGGGAAGGAACAAGAAGAACTAAAAGTGCATTTGATTTCATTTTTATTTTTAGTGTGGCAAGTGGATACAACTTCAGCTGGCTGAATCACAGCCCAATATTCTAGAAATTGGTAGCAGTCAAGATGAAACCAAAAAACTTCTTCATGATCATGAACTTCTTTTGGCCAAGCTCAAGGTAAGAAATACGACGCAGATAGAACTAAAAGGAAATAAAAAGCTATTTCTTATACTTCCTCTTGATTCTTCTGTTGTTACTGGCCTATGGCTATTTTAACACAGTGCCAAATAGATAATGGGAAAAACACTGTAGTTACTCATGAGCAAACACCAACAAAGGAGAGAAATAACAGGACTTTTAAAAACCTTTCCCCAATGTGATAGAAATATGGAGCGATAATATTTTTACTGTGGAGAAATAAGTAATGTTTTTTTTTCCTGGCTGCCTCAGTAAAAAAAAAAAAAAAAAAAAAATTCATCATTTTTCCTGCGTCATACTGTCATACTGTCAAGTCACAACAGGTTCAAACTTTCTGTTGTTAATGACACCTGCTGTCGAGAATAACAGACTTTCCCCGCTCTGCTGAACTATTGAAAATACCTGATTTTGTGTTTAATATTAAGGTTTCTTGAAACCAAATAATACTTTTAGTAAAATCAGAGCTATTGTTCCATATATGTTGTGGTTATTTAGTTAAGAATCTAAAAATAACATTGGCTTATGATTACTAAGCTATCTAATCAGGACGAGCTACATAATTTGTGGGGCCCAGTGTGAAATGAAAATGAAAATAATAGACACCCTGTTCAAAAAGCAGGGCATCGCTTTTTTAAAAAAGTTAAAAGATTTATTGGGGTGGTGGTGGTCATCAAAACTACATAGGTTTCAAGCATACAATTCAATAATACATCATCTATGCATTGCATGTGTGTTCACCACCCAGAGTCAGTTCACCTTCCATCACCATATATTTGACTCCCTATATCAGCAGTTCTCAACCTTCCTAATGCTGCGACCCCTTAATACAGTTCCTCATGTTGTGGTGACCCCCAACCATCAAATTATTTTCGTTGCTACTCTATAACTGTAATTTTGCTACTGTTATGAATCGTAATGTAAATATCTTTTTGTTTTCCGATGGTCTTAGGCGACCCCTGTGAAAGGGTCGCTCGACCCACGAAAGGGTCGTTCGACCCACAAAGGGGTCGCGACCCACAGGTTGAGAACCGCTGGCCTATAGCCTCTTCTACCACCCCACTCGGCCCTTACCATCTGATAACCACTAAACTGAACAGGAAACACTTTTTCTTGACCAGTCATGATGTTTTCTTATCTGCTATTTAATGTCTAGCTCCTTCAGTCACAAGGCTATGTGAGAGGCGAGTGCAGACCCTCAGGCACCGAGCCTCAGCCATGGCTTAATGCACAGGGTGTGGGCTTGACCCTAACCCTTCCTGACCTGTGTCCTCACCCCTGCCAAGGCAGATGACAGAGGCCACTGAGCAGGGGTGGGGAACCTCCCCAGGAGGCAGGGCCACATGCGCAATGAGGCTCCAGTTCTCCAGTACTTCCTCTGTTGTCCCATTGGACTTCACTTATAAAACACAAATTCAAAGGTAAAATTAAGAATTTTAAGGCAGTGACAGGTAAAGCATTAAACCCCACGAGGTTCTCCCTTCTGAGGATGGAGCCTTGTGATGCAGCCAACCTGTGAGTCACAACCCACGTAGGCAAGTGACTGTCTTCACTAAGGTCAGAGAGGTTTGATTCCTGGATCTGCAATGGCTAGATGTTCTGCGTTTTCAGTACTTTAATGTTACTGGCCTCTTTGAACAGTCTGGCTGTTATTCACACATGCTTCCTAGATTTAGAGGCAGACATGATCTGCATCTGATTTATTCTAACAGTGGTTTTCTGATTGGACAGTAATAAAAGTAATTGGGTAAATCAGACTGAGAAATTAAAGAAAGAATTAGTGCTGAAGCGGGAGCCATTAGAATCTAAAATTTATTCTCTTGTTTAGACAACTCCTTGCTCTAGGCTCTGTGCTGTCTTTCAAGGTAGAAATCCCTGGCCACCAGAAATTTCTCTGTGTATCTAAAAAGAAAAACACACATTATGATGTGAAAGAGCATTGAACCAGGAATTAAAAGACCTGTGATTTTAGTGCTAATTATGCCACTTACTAGTATAACTCAGCTAACAACTCAAGGTCATGCTACTACACAAAAAGTTCAGTTCCATAAATTGTGGAAATGCTCTGGGCTTCCTCGCAATTCCTGCTCATCCTAGAGGTTTACTTGCTCATGGCCTCCTGTGTCTCTCGCTCCTTCAAATGCACCTATCAACTGTTTTCTGTAGTTCACCCACAGTTGAAACTACATCCCTTCTCTCCAGGTCCCACTAACAGTTGGTGCCCAGCCAGCATTTTCAGGTCCACTGATGAACTGTGGGTGGCGGGGAAGCTCACAGCAGTCTGGGCCTCTCAGGCCACCTCTTTTCCCCTCCACCCCTATTCCTGTCCAGGCTTACAATTCCAGGGAGAATGCTTTCTGGGGTGGAGCAAGTCAGCTCTCCCTAGCTACTCCACTCATATTTGTATCCTAAATCCACCCAGGAGCTCATCTGGAAAAGGGTTTTTATTCAACAGGATCCATCTTCAAGGAGTGTTTACTGTTCTAGGTTCTCAAGTCTTTTTGTCCTTTTAAGCCAATCTTCTGGCTATGGACTAGCTTCTGGACTTCAGGCTTTTTATCTGTAAGATGAAGGGAGAGGATAAATCAAAGCTTCATATCTATTTGTAGATCTTACCATAATGTGTCATGGGATTGTGGGACCATACTCCCTCTTTGCGTGTGGGTCTAAGAACACGAGATCTCAAGTAAAAAGGGCTTTTGGCTTCACGTAAGCCTCTAGCCATGACCTCTTAATGTCCATCTCCTATCCCCTCCCCCACCCCACCTATCACTATCAACCCAGACACCTCTCCCAAGGAATTTTAAGTGGTAGCATCATCTTCCAAAGTTATTGTTTAAAAAAAAATCAAGGAGTCTGAAATCTGTTCCAGATTTGCTGACAAAAGACTTTTTAAAATAACAAAAATGTGAATTCCATTTTGAAAATGGATAGATCACTAGTTCAACCAATTTACTAGTAATTACGCTGTCAGGGTAGGCACAGCCTTAACCTGTAGAAGAAAATTGTTGGATCCAAGTTAGTTTTAGTGTGAGCTTTTCAAACCATAGGGACATTAGTAGTTCAATAAGCCAATAATAGTTCATATTTAATGTTCAATCCAGTCCTTTTCTTATGCATAAGGCCCTGCAATTTCTTCTAATTATAAAGAAGAATCACCATGAGGGGTGTTGGGAGAATGTAGGAGTTCACTGCGGAGTTCGCTCTGATTTGAGCGATGCAGTTAGCCTCTCTGGTCTCAGGTTCTTTATTGAAAAAATTATAATACGTTACCCCCAAACACCAAGAAAGGAAATTTCGGGGAGAAATGCAATGGTGTATGGAACTGCCTGCTGCCTTTGAAAAGAGGTGCTATATAATTGTTCTATTAATAATTAATATGTCAGAATAATTTAGATGCTTAATTTGATAGAAAAGCTATTTTTTGCCTTCCACTAAAAATCATCTCAAATACTAGTAATTTTGACTACAAAGAAGAAGTCTGGAAACACAGAATTTTTATGAGTGTTTCTAGTGTTGGTAATGTTTATACCTCAGAGATATTTCCCTTTTAGTGGTGTAATTAATTCCAATGGCATGTCCAGAGAAAAAATGATTTCTCTGTTTTCAGTGGGGAAAACATTATCCTGTGGAAAAAGCATTAACTTCCTAATGGTACCTAAATTCTTAAACCGTACTCGGTTTATTTATAACGGGAAAGAAGAAATTTGGGGAAGAGAAGAAGGAGATTAAAGCTAGGTAGAGAAGACCCGCCGGTGGCCACTATGACATTACGTCCTCAGGTGGCTCAAGGAGGGAAAGAGGAGTTGGAAATATCTCAGGGATGTTGCCGACAAGGCTCTTCCCCTTAGCATCTGTCTTGCAACTACTATACATTGCCACTGTCCAGAGGAAATAAACTGTACGAGCCAAGAAGACCTCTGGCCACTAGCTCCTGTATTTGTAGATATGCGAATATGTAGGTATATACTCGTAGATATGCATTTGTAGATATTTGTAGCATTCAGTGAAGAATGAGTCTTTATAGAGTATAAAATACTAAAATATTTCCCCTCTGGCTTGACTTACAACACTGTTGGTTCTCTGATTCTGACTAAATCTCCGACCCGATCCAATGAATGCTTATTTTTGTCCTGTTTCCATTTACTTAGCTATAAATGAATAGCCTAATATATTAGCAGTCAAGCTAAAAGTTTTATTAAAGCTTGCCTTAAATAAGGAATAGTGTGGTTTTCTGCTATAAACTGGAGTGTTGACTAAGAATACATTATTTCATTTATTGTGCTAAAATATGTATATATAAAATTTGCCATTTCAAACATTTTTAAGTATACAATTAATTACATTCACAATGTTGTGCAACCATCACCACTATTTATTCCCCACATTTTTTCATCACTTGAAACAGAAACTATACTTATTAAGCGTTGGCTCCCATTCCTTCATTCCCTGGTAGCCTGTAATGTACTTACTGCCTCTATGAATTTGTCAATCTCAAGTACCTCAGGTGATGGAATCATATAATACTTGTCCTTTTGTGTCTGGCTTATTTTACTTAGCATATGTTTTCGAGGTTCATCCATGTTTTAGCATGTATTAGAACTTCATTCCTTTTTATGAATGAATAATATTCCAAAGCACTGATATACCAATTTGATTTATCCATTCAAAAATGGACACGGTTGTTTCCACTTTTCAACTATTGTAAATAATGCTTAAGTGAACATTGGCATACAAAGTCTCTGTTTGAGTACTTGTTTTTAATTTTGGGGGGTAATACCTAGGAATGGAATCGCTGGGTCATATTGCATTTCTGTGCTTAACTTTTTAAGGAAACACCAAAATGTTTTTCACAGCAGCTGCATCACGCAGTCCCACCAGCATAATACAAGTGTTCCAACTTCTCCACATCTTTGCTAAAACTTGTCATTTTCTTTCTTTCTTTCTTTCTTTCTTTCTTTCTTTCTTTCTTTCTTTCTTTC